CACTCATAATCTCTATAAGGCCAATTATTTAGGTTTTATAGTTTTCTTAAAGTACTAGATAACAACTATTCATTATTAACTCTTTTTCGAGAGGTCTCATATATCGATAACGACATACTAAATAGTAAAAAGAATATTAATATATAATATTAGTTCATTTGTATTATGATTTTTTTAAATTGATGGCGACCGAAGAGAATAAACTCAAGAGAAATTTTTTTCTACTATATGAGTTCACGAGAGAGCCAATAATGCTGCAAAAAGTAATATCATTACATCTAAAGATTGGGACTTGCCCATACCAAAACATTATACAAATGGACTTCCTCATAGTAAAAAAAGAAAAGAAAGGAAAGATATTAGTATATAATATGATATATGGTCATCTAACACTTAATAAGTTTCAAGCAATAATGTTTACATACCATCAAGTACTAGAATTCCCAATAAGAGATGGTGTTAAAGAGATAACGAGCAAGTAGGTGTTAGCTTTTCAATGTTGTTTAGGCAATCTTAATAGTAAAAAATCATATCGATCAATATTCGAGCTTAAGGGACGAAGAAGACGACCGGAGAACCATACTAGTAGAAGAACTTGTGAACCTTCGATCATTAATATGAATCCCATAAAGTGCATCATGATTGAGACAAGGGTGAAGGAAACACTAACACATTTTTATATGGGTCTTATTGATGTTCCTAGCCTTTTATTTGAGATAATAGCCACATATTAAGCTTGAAAATTAGGTGTTGACGAGTGAAATAAAAGAAAAAAATAATTTGTTAAGGAAATAAGGAGGGAACTAAAAGAAAAATTGAAGAAGTTATTGATGGTAAGATTTATCGAGAAATTAGATTACCAAGAGTAGTTGGTAAATGTGATTTTGGTAAAGAAAGCTATTAAGGAGTGGAGAATATGTATTAATTTTAATGAATTAGCAAAATATGCTCAAAAGGTAGTTTCGTCACCTATAAATAGACTAGGACATGAATTCTCTATTTCTTGGATCCATTCAATAAATTTTCTAATATTCTTGTTTAATTTTTTAAAAAGAATGGAATTCCATTTGAATCCAAATTGGATAAAATAAATTTTTTTATGAAATAAAAAATTGCTAACAATATCAAATGAGGTAATTGAAAATTGGTATGAGAATGTTTATGTGTTTGATTTTTCTCTAAAATCAATTGAGTAATTTAGCTAATTTTATTATGTGCTAATTTAAATTATTTTTCTTAATTTTGACATGAATCCAAACTAAACTATCGATGTCGACCACCGCGAGAGGGACTAGAACAAGGAGTCGCCACCTAACTAATTAGGAAGAACTAGGAAATCCTAAAGATATTGGTCTACATGGAGATCCGGATAAGGGGTCGGTTACGTATGGGGAAGATATGACATCACTACCATCCGTCCTACCTAAGATAGGTTGCATTGTTTGCCTATGAATATAAAACCTAATTTTTTTATCTTGTTATGCTTTTATGTCTATTTGAGTGAGTTTATTTTGTTAAAATATAAAGCGAGGTGGTTCGAGTGTAAAAATAGGATAGTTTGGGAGTTTAGACCGATCTAATGCTAATACTCCCCACCCAATAGGAAAAGGTAGGGGAATTTAGAAGTTCAACTAATTATTAGTGAACACGACTTATTATCAAGCAATAGGTGAGTTTTTAAAGATGAATAGTCTTTTATTGGCATGAGTAGCGAGTCACCGACGACTTCGCTCACACAAGTAGGAAGCCACCAATGACTTTGAGTCATGAGTTTGAAGCTAACGATAACTTCGTCACACAAGTTAAAAGTTATTGATCATTTTATTTAGCTCGAGCAAGGAGCGAAACCGTTTAGAAGCTACCGACGGCTTTGTCACATAAGTGGGAAGCCACTAGTCGCTTCATTTCGATGAAATAAGCAATGAAACCGAGAAAATAGGAAATAGGAACAAAAAACAAGAAATAGAGAAACAAAAAACATAAATTAGGAAAAGTAGGAATCGGATAAAATGATTTCGAAACCACCAACTAGCTTTATCACATAAGTGGAAAGCAACCGACAGCTTTATTTTATCATTGTAATCAAGCACAAAAAGTCAATTGAACTATCAAATAGCATAAATTTCATATTTAAACAAATAAGCATAAAAAAAAAAAGATAATTTGTCTTTTAGTGTCAATGACATCAATGCTTATTTCAACTACATTTAGACCATGGGTAGTAAAACAAAATACAACAATTTTGTTCACATAAACAAATAATTCAATCATTTTTAATCATTCATTTTTTTTTTAAGAATGCACTAGTTTTAGAGTTTTACCTAAAAAGCTTTGAAATTTCAATATCCGAAACAAAGTCAATTTACTCTCTTCGATCCCGATGAAAGCCGATTATACGATTAATCGAGAAAGGAAAGCAATTATCCAAAAGTTTCTCTCGTTACTTATGCAACCACTTCAAATGTTACTCGTAAAATTTGTAGAGTTCCCGAAGCTTTGCGAGTTTCTCGAAAACTCAAAATGACTTTCGTTATTGTATTTTCCCGTTAAAAAATCGGAGAAATATAGTCTACAACATCATGTTATTCTTGCCAACACAATCCAATACAATAAAAAAAAAAATTAGTCTTTCTTTTTAGCTTTTTTTTTTCGCTTTTATTTCCTCTTTTTTAATAACTAAAAAAAAAAGTGTTCAATGGGCTCTTTTGACGGAGGGTTTGTAGTCGTTTTAGTGGGTATTTTGGAGATTTTTGAGGTTATTTTAAAGCTATTAAGGGACAAAGAAGACGACTGGAGACCCATACTAGTAGAAGAGCTTGTGAAACTTTTAATCATTAAGACAGATCCCATAAAGTGCATCTTGATCAAAACAAGGGTGAATGAAACACTAACACATTTTTATATGGGTCTTATTAATGTTCCTAGCCTTTTATTCGAGGTAATAGCCACATATTAAGCTTGAAAAGTAGGTGTTGACGAGCGAAATAAAAGAAAAAAAAATTTGTTAAGGAAATAAGGAGGGAACTAAAAGAAAAATTGAAGAAGTTATTAATGATAAGATGTATTGAGAAATTAGATTACTAAGAGTAGTTGGTAAATATGATTTTGGTAAAAAAAAAAAAAAAAGCTATTAAGGAGTGGAGAATATGTATTAATTTTAATGAATTAGCAAAACATGCTCAAAAGGTAGTTTATGTCACCTATAAATAGACTAGGACATGAATTCTCTATTTATTAGATCCATTCAAGAAATTTTCTAATATTCTCGTTTAATTTTTAAAAAAGAATGGAATTCCATTTGAATCCAAATTGGATAAAATAAATTTTTTTATGAAATAAAAAATTGCCAACAATATCAAACGAGGTCATTCAAAATTGGTATGAGAATGTTTATGTGCTTGATTTTTCTCTAAAATCAATTGAGTAATTTAGCTAATTTTATTATGTGCTAATTCAAATTATTTTTCTTAATTTTGACATGAATCCAAACTACATAATAAATAGACTGGATTGAGAATGAACTTCCCCAAACATAAGACTTTAGGCGGGATAAGGATGGACGGTGGTATTTTAGCAAGGACAATGTCTATGTCTTGTCAATGAGATGCATTAGAGAAATTAATTTGATAGGGTCGAAGTAGAACACGCTAACAAAAGGTCTAATTGTTACTTTTTTTTTTTTTTTTTATAGCTTTTGCTTGTAAGTTGAAGCAATTTAGTCTAAAAGAGTCAAACTTTTTCAAATTAAATCTGAGTTGTCTAAACATGAACGGTGTAACATGATACTAGCGAGTTAAAGACTATTTTTAATTTACTATAAATGTTAATTTTATATTATTACGAAGGGAATCCAATTTTTTATTTTTTTTAAAAAAAAACTTTAAACATTTTCTTAAAAACTCTTATATTTACATATCAAATAACATCTAAAGCTTCATCCATTTAAACTTTAGCAACCCACAGGCTTGTCACTTGGCTTGTGTCTTACTAGAATTGTTTGCTTTTTCTCCCACACTGATCACTATTTGTATCCATCTTGTCGGTTTGGTTGAGTGCTGTTTTTGTAAATATCAATACTTATTCTTTGCATCTTAGGAGTCAATCGAAAAGTTGTGTTATTAGTTTTTAAAAATTCCACCACACAGAATAACAACAAATGGAGGGAAGATTTTCACACACAGACAGCCGGAGGAAAGCAATACTTGTTGTTTAGCTCCATAGTAGCTAGGAGCCGAGAAAGGAACCGGTTGCCGTTAAAGGGAGTAAATTGCAAATATCTAAACTTAAGTCCGCTATGACATAAAAAGACGCAAATAACTGAGACACAAACATAAATTAACCAATTTGTTTTTTTTTTTTAAAAGAAAACCAGAATAAAACGAAAGAGAGAGAGAGAGAGAAAAACTTTCCTTAATTTTCCTCCCGTGCACAGCTTCCTCTTCATTTCTTTCCTCTCTCGGTTACTGTCTCTCTCACAGTAGGGCTTCTCTTGTAAGTAAAACCTTCTATCTCACTTGTCTCTCCCGCGGCGCACATTATCGTCGCCGTTTCTATCTTACGCTCTTCACGGTGGTAAGCCCCTTATCCTACACCCCATTCCCATTGCTTCAAACTTTAACTACACTGAGATGATTGTTATTGTTAGTAGCTGATCAATTCACCGTTTGTGTTTAATTGTTCTTACTCGATCAGGATTAGAGAGACTATCAATTCACTATCTAGGGTTTGACTTTGCCGAATCGATTTTTTTAATTGATTCAGTGAGATCTGCTTCAATTGGAATAAAGGAGAGGAATAATTTAGGGTTAGGGTTTTGTTCCTTTTTTTTTTTTTCCCATTTGATGCTTTGGCCGGGATCTGAATCCGAATCCGCCTTGATAATCTCGGGTCGGACCTTGAAATGGCCAATCCTGGAGTCGGGTCTAAGTTTGTATCTGTGAATTTGAATAAATCTTATGGCCAACAACAACAACAATATCACCATAACAGTCAGTATAACTATGGGCAGGGTCGGGGACGGCCTGGTGGGGCAGGAGGAGGGGGCGGAGGAGGAATGGTGGTGCTGTCGAAGCCACGTAGCTCGCAAAAAGCTGCTGGGCCGAAGCTTTCTGTTCCACCCCCTGAATTTGCCATCCTTGCGTAAAGAGCATGAAAGGTTTGATTCATTGGGATCAGGTGGCGGACATGGTAGTGGTGGTCCGGGAAATGGGCCACGACCCAGTTCTTCTGGTATGGGGTGGAGTAAGCCTGCTGCAATACCTGTGCAGGAGAAAGAGGAGTTGGATGTTAGTGGTGCTAATAATGTAGTTGATAATGGAAATAATTATGGTGGTGGTGATCAGGGAGTGAGTGATGTGGGTAATGGGGTTAATAAAGGGACCATCACCGCTAGTAGTGGTAGTGTGTATATGCCACCTTCGGTGAGGTCAGTGGGGCCAACCGTTGCTTCTGGTGGTCCAAGGGGTTATTCAGTAGTGGAGAAAGCTACGGTTTTAAGGGGTGAGGATTTTCCTTCATTGAAGGCAACTTTGCCTGCTGTGTCTGGACCAGAGAAGAAGCAGAAGGATGGTTTGAGTCTGAAACAGAAGCAGGTGTCGAGTGAGGAGTTGGGTAATGAGCAGAGGGGTGGATCTAGTTTGAGTAGGGTTGTTGATATGCATCCCCAAATGCAGGCAAGGAATAATATTGTTAAGGGACTGGATGAAAATGGTGGTGACAACCGAGGAATGGGTCGCCCTTTAATACCCAAGAAAGAACGGAAACAGGAAGAGTACTTTCCAGGTCCTTTGCCATTAGTTCGGTTGAATCCTAGGTCAGATTGGGCAGATGATGAGCGGGACACAGGGCATGGTTTGACTGAAAGAGGGAGAGATCATGGTTTCTCAAAGAACGAGGTTTATTGGGAGAGGGATTTTGATTTTCCAAGATCAAGTGTTTTACCTCAGAAGCCAGCTCACAATCTTTTTGACAGGCGAGGACAGCGTGACAATGAAACTGGAAAGATTTCTTCTAGTGAAGTCACTAAGGTAGACAATTATGGAAGAGATATCAGAACACCTAGTAGAGAGGGAAGGGAAGGGAACTCATGGAGAGCTTCATCGCCTCTTACAAAAGATAGATTCACCGTTCAAGAGGCTGGAAATGAAAGAAACGGTTTTGGTGGAAGACTAGCTAGTTTGAACAGAGAAACAGCCAAGGTGAATAAGCACATGCCTTCAGCGTTCTGGGACAGTTCTCAGGATGATGCTGGAAGGAGGGATGTGGGGTATGGTCAAGGAGGGAGACAGCCTTGGAGTAATACTATGGATTCTTTTGGCAATCGAGGGCCTGAACGGAATACCCGAGAACGTTATGGCAGTGAACAATACAACAGATACTGGGGCGATTCTTATCAGAATAACTCAGTTGTCAAATCATCATTTTCTGTGGGTGGTAAAGGGCTTTCAGTTAATGACCCCATATTGAATTTTGGTAGGGAGAAACGCTCATTTTCAAAGAGTGAAAAACCTTATCAAGAGGATCCTTTCATGCAGGACTTTGGAACTTCTGGTTTTGATGGACGAGATCCTTTCTCTGGAGGCCTTGTTGGTTTGGTTAAGAAGAAGAAGGATGTGCTTAAGCAGATTGATTTCCATGATCCTGTTCGGGAATCTTTTGAGGCTGAACTTGAGAGAGTTCAGAGGATGCAGGAACTGGAACGGCAGCGGGTAGTTGAAGAGCAGGAAAGGGCTATAGAGTTAGCTCGTAGAGAAGAAGAGGAGAGAGTGAGGCTAGCTAGGGAACAAGAAGAACGGCAGAGAAGGTTGGAAGAAGAAGCTAAAGAAGCTGAATGGAGAGTTGAACAAGAGCGACTGGAAGCCATCCAAAGGGCAGAAGAAAATAGGATAGCTAGAGAGGAGGAGAAACAAAGAATATTTATGGAGGAGGAGAGGAGGAAACAAGCTGCTAGGCAGAAGCTTTTAGAATTGGAAGAAAAGATTGCGAAGAGGCAAGCTGAAGCAGCAAAGAGTGGAAATGAGAATTCTTCTGGTGTTACAGATGAGACAATGAGAGGGATGGTGACAGAAAAAGATGTTTCCAGGGTGACAGATGTTTGTGATTGGGAAGAAAGTGAAAGGATGGTGGAGAGCATCACAGCTTCAGTATCTTCTGATTCGTCAGTAGTGAATAGACCATTCGAAATGGGTTCTGGGCCTCAATTGTCTAGAGATGGCTCTTCAGCTTTTTTAGACAGAGGAAAACCTGTGAATTCATGGAAGAGAGATGAATTTGACAATGGGAATAGTGCAGCGTATGTTCCACAAGACCAGGAAAATGGTCACCCTAGTCCCAGGAGAGATGTATCTGCTGGAGGGAGAGCATTTTCTAGGAAAGAGTTCTATGGGGGACCTGGATTAATGCCCTCAAGGCCTTATCACAAAGGAGGGATTCCTGATCCCCATGTGGATGATTTTAGTCAACAAATTAGAAGTCAAAGGTGGAATATTTCTGGCGATGGAGATTATTTTAGTAGAAACTCAGAGATTGAATCTGATTTTCAAGAGAACTTTGCAGAGAGATTTGCTGATAGTGCATGGGGGCATGGTCATAATCGGGGCAATCCTTATCCTCAATACCATGAAAGAACGTATCAAAACCATGACACCGATGGGCTCTATTCGTTTGGGAGCTCACGGTATCCCATGAGGCAACCTCGTGTTCTACCCCCTCCATCCATGGCTTTATTGAATAGAAACCCTTATAGAGGTGAGAATGAACATTCTGGTCCCTCAACCTTTCCGGAGAATGAGATGCAGTACAATCATGGAGCTAGAAATGAATCTACCATGCAGCCAAGGTATGATAGCAGTTTTCAAGAGAATCGTGGACGAGCTGAAATAATTGCCCAGCAAGAGAATACTGAGACTGAGGTGCAGAAACTGAATGGGAACACAACAAGGTGTGACTCACAGTCTTCACTCTCTGTTTCAAGTGCACCTGATTCTCCGGTTCATCTCTCTCATGATGATTTGGATGAATCTGGAGATTCTCCATTGTTATCAGCTGGTGAACGCAAAGATGTTGCCTTGTTGGGAGAAGAGAATGAATCTTTAGTGTTGCCTACTGAAGCTGAGAAAGAGAATATGATGAGTGGCTCAAGTATTATTTCTAATGGCGACGACGACGACGAATGGGCTGTTGGGAATGATGAACAGTTGCAGGTGCATTTTCCAAAAATAAACTAGTATTGTTTGAGATTTGCTTTGGAAGTCTTTCCTGATAAGTTTTGCTTGAATTTGCTGCCATAGTGCTTGTTTATGGGTCTAAGGGTATTATTTTTGTTGATCCCATTTGTACTCAATATTGTTTGTGTAGGATCTTGCAAGAAGCCTCGTTCTCTGCAGCGATAGGTGTTGTTACATAAAATTGCTGCCTGAAAGATGTTAATGTGATTGTTGTGGTTGGATGGAACAAGCTTATGATTTTGCTATGTGGTTATTAATTTTTTTTGTGCTGAGTTGTCATGGTAATTCAAACAAGACCTCTTTCTTGGGAAGAGGGGTTGGACTGTTGGGGGGGGGGTGTTGTTGTTGGTTTGGTGTTCTATGGCGGCATGCATTGATATGAGTATTAAAAAAAAGAAGTATAGCATCTTCCTAATCATCAAGTCTCTACATTCCCTTACATATATAGTGCTTGATGATTCTTGTGTTTTGGTTTTCTGTAATTTTATTTCTGCTTTGTTATGCAAACTCACCTAATGAACTGCAGTTCTTAGCTTGTTAAATGTTGATGCTTCAATCTTTAACTTGTTGGACATGCATCGGTGTTTGAAGGCTTTTTGCCTCGAATTTTTAATTTATACATTACTGAATCTCGGATAGACTGCTGTGTGAATGTTGATTTATCCTGAGTTCATCAAATTTGCTACTGTTTTGTTTGGCTTTCTAGCTTGCTGCTTACTATCCATCATCTTGCTATTACTTAGTGCATTGACTGTCTTGCTGCTTCTCATTTTGGCTTGAGGTTGTTTCTGCCTTTTTTTTTTTTGGTTTTGGTAACAGTCGTAAGATCTCTTGTATTTTCCCATTGTAGCTGGCTTTTGTCATTTGAACATCTTGATAACTGATTGTTCCTACTATTTACTCACCTTTGATTTATCCCAAAAAAAAAAAAAAAAAAATGATGATGCAGTTACAGGAGCAAGAAGAATATGATGAGGATGAAGATGGTTACGAGGAAGAAGACGAAGTGCATGATGGAGAAGATGAAAATATTAACCTGACTCAAGATTTTGAAGACATGCATTTAGAGGAGAAAGGTGCACCTGACATGATGGACAACTTGGTCTTAGGCTTCAATGAGGGTGTTGAGGTTGGGATGCCCAATGATGAGTTTGAGAGAAGCTCAGGGAATGAAGAAACCAAATTTGTGATACCACAATCTTCAGAAGAACAGGGATCTTTTGATGCCATGTGCAGTGATGGGCAAACCCTTCTACCTGTGGATGGTTCTACTCAAGTGAACATTGATAATCCTTCAAGAATCTTCCAGGAAACAGAGAAGGTAATTCAAGATGTGGCAAATCAATCCAAAAATGCTCAAACTTTAGCATCGCCAGTGCTTATGGATTATTCTGATGCTTCTACTAGTTGTGGCTTGTCCATTCAGCCCCAAATCCAATCTTCATCTGGTCATACTGTCATGTCTAATATTCCATTTGTTAGTAATCAGCCTGAGGTACCTGTTAAGCTTCAGTTTGGGCTATTTTCTGGTCCTTCTCTGATACCTTCACCAGTTCCAGCAATACAGATTGGTTCTATACAGATGCCTCTTCATCTGCATCCCCCAGTCGGCTCATCCCTCACGCACATGCACCCATCACAGCCTCCTCTCTTTCAGTTTGGTCAGCTGAGGTATACATCTCCCATTTCACAGGGGGTTCTGCCTTTGAATCCTCAATCAATGTCCTTTGTTCGGCCCAATATTCCAAGTAATTTTTCTTTCAATCAGAGTGTTGGAGGTGCTGTACCTATTCAACCTGGTCAAGACACTGTGAAAAGCAATGTTTCATCAATTTCAATGGATAATCAACGAGGCCTTCCGCGACACTCGGAACTATCTCATATGGTAGTGAAAGAAGGAAATTCATTGCCACTGAGAGAGAGAGCTGATAGCACTATAGAAATACACCAGGGTGAAGGAGATTGTTCTCACAGTGGTGATGGCAATTTGAGGCCTGAATCAGGTTTTCAAGCAGAAAATTCATTTGTAAAGAATTTCAACACCGTACCCCCTCAAGAATTGGAAGGCCAGCCTCAAACTGTGGAAGTATCATCTCTATTAGTTCCTAAAGAAAAAGATTTAGGAGTTTCAAAGGGTCCAGGCTTAATATCAGGCGGGAGAGGGCGAAGGTATGCCTTCACAGCAAAAAATTCTGGCTCAAGATCATCATATCAGGCTTCTGAGGTTTCTCGCTCAGATTCTAGTGGATTTCAGAGGAAACCTCGACGTCTGCGAACAGAATTTCGAGTTCGGGGAAATTCTGATAAGAAGCATTCTGCTGGATTGGAGGTAGATGATAAATCTAATATCAGTGGTGGGCGCGCTGGTGCGAGAAGTGGGTCTAGGAGGGTGGTTGTTGCCAATAGACAACCAAAACAGACATTTGAATCAGAGGGCTCAACTTCAAGGCCAGTAAGTTCACAGGAGATGGATTCTCGAAGCAGGGTTGAAAAGGGAAAAGAATCTTTGAGAAAGATTCAGAACATCTCTCACTCCAGAGATGCTGTAGATGCTCCTTTGCAAAGTGGAATCGTGCGTGTTTTTGAGCAACCTGGCATAGAAGCACCTAGCGATGAGGATGACTTCATTGAGGTGAGGTCAAAGAGGCAAATGTTGAATGATCGACGAGAACAGAGAGAGAAAGAAATCAAGGCGAAGTCTCGGGTTTCAAAGGTTCTGCGACTGATTTACTTTGAATTAGCATTTGTTGCATAAAAAAACATGTTGCTTAATTACTTTAATTTGTTGATATTAGATGCCACGGAAACCTCGTTCTTTTTCGCAAAGTGCTACTGTGTCTTCCATCTCAAATAACAATTGTGCACCAGTTGGTGGAGAGGCATCAAACAGTATTCGCTCTGATTTTGTGGCACCTGAGGGGCATGGCTTGGCAAACATTGAAGTATCCCCTGGATTCAATACACCCATAGTGTCCCAACCATTGCCTCCAATTGGGACCCCTGCAATGAAAACTGATGCTCAGGCTGTCAAGTATATACTCTTTCAAGAATTTTATGCAGTCAAATATATATGTACAGACTTGTCAGTCTCATATGTTCTTCTGCAGGTCCTTCCAGACAAGCTCCTTGACTGTTGTGAAAGGTGGTGGAAAGAACCTTGCTTCAGGTTTAATTTTTGATAGCAAGAATAATGTTCTTGAAACCGTCCAAACATCTTTGGGCTCTTGGGGTAGTTCACGGATTAACCAACAGGTATGGTAAACAGTTCTTACCAACATTTTGCCAAATATACGAGTAAAAGAACCAGGATACTTTAATGTTCTTCAGCTTCACTCTGTTCTATCATTTTGCATGAATATGAATCTTATGAGTTCACTGAAAAAAACTCGATGAAAGTTTTGGTAATTACTTGTAGTTTTTCCTCTTTGATGTAATGGTTGTTTCTTTTTGTTTCATTCATCGAATTTGGGTTCCTCAGTCATTCTAATTGCTGTCTAAGTTTGGTTCAGACTTTGTCCAGAGTTTACTGCAAAAAATTATCCTTATTTCAAGGTCTGGCATAATGATTTTAGCATGTCTGTCCAGTTCTACCACACTTGCTCATCTTCAAGCCATCAGAATCAATGCTATTTTTATTTGTTGGAGGAAAGGAAGGGGATGGGAGGGAAAGGAGGAGAATAGAATTTCTATTTAATTTCTTTTCTTGTTTGTGTAGAGAAGTGGACAGAAAGTTAGGAGGCAACCTGGCATTGCTTAAATCGGCAGGCTGCATCAGTTTACCACTTTACCCTGAAAGTCTCACTCTCATCTAGTTTGAAAGGAAAATTTTGGTGAATCCAGTAGGAAACTTTCCATTCATTTCTCTGCTGTTTTTCTTTCTCAAATGAAACCAAAGCAATCTTTTTGTTTATCTTCTTTCCTCCCCGTTGTGCCAGTAATGGTTCAGTTTTTCATTTAGGGATCAGGTTTGGTGAATCTAATAGAAAAGTTTAGAAATTACTGGTGCATTTTTCTGCTCTTTCTTTCCCGAATTCACACCAAGCGAATCATCTTAGCTCCCTGTCTCTATTTCCCAAATTAAATTAAAATTATTCACTGCTAAAACATCTACATGGAGGGAAGGACATGCAAGGAAAGGGAGATTGAGGGATGGAGGAAAAGTATTTACCCTATTTGGGTGTTTGCAAACTTCAGAGTTCACATGCATTATACACATCTGCATCTTAACCTTATCTAAAGATAGTTGCCTATTTAAGTTCTCTTTTCAATTTGCTTATTTTGACATAGAATCAGATTGATCTTTCATGACTTCATCAAGACAGGCTTGAAGATTCATGAATTCATATGTGTCCGAAAGCTCTTGGCCTGTCTAACTATATGTTTTCAGCTGCATCACAGTTATGCATGCCAATGATGGTTGAATTTGTTTCATTTAGGGGCCAGGGCGAATGGAATTTTTCAGACTGTCAGATTCCATCTGTGTTTCACACAGGTGTCTTGGATGTGATTGTTTGCCTATAGCATTCATGATGTAACCATTTTACTTAAATCGAATCTTCTGCTGTTAAGTTTGAGACATATTTCAGCATACTTCACTGTTTTAGTGGAAACACATATGGGCTTCTGGCTTGCTTTATTAATCTTGTTTTTCAACTGCAAGCTGATTTTATTCTCTCTGTGAAGCTCTGACATACAATATGCCATCAGAGCATTTTACATTACCAGGGAGATCTAGATCTAGTGCCATTAAATAGTTTGTGTGTTCAGTATTGTCAGTTGATATCAATTTCAACTCATGCTACTAAGTTTTTCTCTTAGGTTTTGGCATGCCAGCTTCTGTTGACAGGCAAATAGACCTAGCTTTTAATGTTGATAATGCAAATAAACTGCAAAGTCATTGAAATAATCAAGTTGATAATTTTGTTTTATTGTTTCAAGTGGGCTTAGTGTTACACTGTCAATGTCAATGATCCAGTTTTCCTTTTAAATAATTGTTCTGATGCCTCTTTTCATATTTCACAATGACTTCATCGTTATTAATCATCTGTGACCATTTGGTAAATCTGCAATTGATATCTGAAATTGATTAATTGTATCTGATAGGTTATGGCACTAACACAGACTCAACTTGATGAGGCTATGAAGCCTGTGCAATTTGATTCACATTCATCTGTTGGTGATCCAACCAACACAGTTAGTGAGCCCAGCTTGCCATCATCATCCCTTTTGAGCAAGGACAAGTCGTTTTCTTCTGCTGTTAGCCCAATCAATTCATTGCTTGCTGGGGAGAAAATTCAATTTGGTGTGCTTAATACTTTTTTGCGTACTTGTGAATGATCTTAGAATTATTATTGGCCTTATTTTGAAATTTATGCTGTTCCTTTATTTTCAGGTGCTGTTACATCTCCTTCAATTCTTCCTTCTAACAGCCGTGCTGTTTCTCATGGGATTGGCCCTCCTGGTCCATGTCGATCAGACATTCACCTGTCACATAATCACTCTGCTGCTGAAAATGATTGCTCTCTTTTTTTTGAAAAAGAGAAACACTCCAACGAATCTTGTGCTCATTTGGAAGATTGTGAAGCAGAAGCAGAAGCAGCTGCTTCAGCTGTTGCTGTTGCAGCCATTAGTAGTGATGAGATTGGTGGGAATGTGCTGGGTGCAGGCCCTGTCTCTACTTCAGACTCCAAAAATTTTGGAGGTGCAGATCTTGATAGCATATCAACGGGTACTGATAATTTTTTTTCCCCTCAACATTGTTGAGAACCTTACACTGCTGTTTCTATTTGAGTTTTTTTTTAAAGCTGCATTATAGCCCTCTTTTATAATATTTGTCAGGTGCTTCTGCTGATCAGCAATTAGCAAGTCAATCAAGAGCTGAAGAGTCTCTTAGTGTGGCTCTTCCAGCTGACCTTTCAGTGGAGACTCCACCAATTTCCTTATGGCCATCTTTGCCAAGTCCACAGAATTCTGCTAGTCAGATGCTTTCGCATGTTCCTGGAGCTCCACCTTCTCATTTTCCCTTCTATGAGATGAATCCGATGATGGGAGGACCAATCTTTGCTTTTGGGCCACAGGATGAATCAGCATCTACTCAATCACAATCCCAAAAAGTAAAGCATCAGTTTCAGGTCCACTGGGGGCCTGGCAACCGCATTCTGGTGTAGATTCATTCTATGGTCCTCCAGCTGGTTTCACTGGCCCTTTCATTAGCCCACCTGGGAGCATCCCAGGGGTTCAAGGTCCGCCTCACATGGTTGTCTACAATCATTTTGCACCAGTGGGACAATTTGGACAAGTTGGCTTGAGTTATATGGGCACCACATATGTCCCATCCGGAAAACAACCTGATTGGAAGCATAACCCTGCATCTTCTGCCATGGGTGCTGGTGAAGGGGACATGAAAAACATGAATATTGTTTCGGCACAGCGCAATTCCACCAACATGCCTGCTATCCAACATCTTGCCCCTGGTTCTCCACTTTTGTCAATGGCCCCGCCTATGGCCATGTTTGATGTTTCTCCTTTCCAGGTAGACATTTGATCTTGTGGATTGGAAGCTTAGAACAATTTGGTTGCCTAAATGATAGTTACTTCCCCTTTTTTCTCCTTCTTTTACAAATGTTTGCCATTTTTCAGCAAAAAATGTCTAATAAAATAGAAGCTTTCTGTTATGCGTTTAGGATATTTGAATAACTTTGGAGGTTCGGAGCAAAATTGGTTGACTACAATTGTTTTCGGAGTTGACTAATGGTTTCTTTCTTATTGCTTATTGTGTAATGTTGCTGTTTTAGTGTGGAATCGCTTACGATAACCTAACATTTTGATTAAATTGTTGTGTCCAGTCTTCCCCGGACATATCTGTCCAAGCTCGCTGGCCTCATGTTCCTGCATCCCCTCTTCAATCTCTTCCTGTGTCAATGCCATTGCAACAACAGGGAGAAGGTGTTCTTCCATCTCAGTTTAACCATATCCTTCCTGTTGACCAATCATTAGCTGCCAACAGGTTCAATGAGTCTCGAACACCAACTCCTTCTGACAATAGACGAAACTTTCCTACAGCAACCAATGCCACCCTCAGCCGGTTACCAGATGAACTTGGGTTGGTAGACTCCGGTGCCACCAGTGTGGGTACTTCAACTCAGAGCATTGGTGCTAAGAGCTCATCTGCAAGCACTATTCCAGAGGCTGGCAAGACCGATGTTATGCAGAATGGCAGTGTTAGCAATGGTGGTGGCCAGAACTCAAGTTCTGTTTTGAAGACACAGCCTTTGCACCAGAAGAATACATCTGCCCAGCATTACAATAACTCTGGGTACAATTATCAGCGAGGAGGCGGAGGCACTCAGAAGAATAGTTCCAGTGGTGAATGGTCTCATCGTAGAATGGCATACCAAGGAAGGAATCAATCTTTGAGTACAGAAAAGAACCCACCTTCAAAGACGAAGCAGATTTATGTAGCTAAACAGGCCACACCAGGAACATTGAAACATCATGAGGAACATTGAAGCTGATTTTCACGGATTTTACAAGCTGAAAGCTTCCAGATAGAAGCATCTCTGACGAGAATGAATTTTTTTTGGCAGAATCTATGGTAGGAAATGGCTGGGTTTTGGATTTTACCTGTGTCCATTAGTTGATTGATATACTGGTCTTTCTAATGCGTTGCCCAACTTGTTGACTATAGCTTGTTTTGTCTTGTTTTTGGGTTTTTAGGAGAAGGGGGAGGTCAAGTGTGCCCTTTCCCTGGTGCTATTATTTCAAGTCTTATGTATTAGTTGGGTTTGGTCCATTATTGATTTCGTTCTACTTTGTTGGATGCACAGACCCAATTGTAAAATCGCGGGATTGATGTATTGAAGAATCAATGTTCCACCAGATATTCTTTTTTAAGGAGTTAATAACATAATGACATTAAAAAAAAAAAAAAAAAAAAAGTTGTGAATTTTCGCAATTCAGTGTGTCAACATTTATTTTTTGGCGAATGAATGGTTAACCATCCAGTGAAATTTGATGATGTGGCAGGTATGACTAGAAAATTTGCGGAGGTTTTATATTAGTGATGACTGGATTAGATGATATGTAAGCCCCGAATCCGATGTCAGGAATGAAAGCACAGGACTCTACTAATAAAATAAAATAAAAAGTAGTCGACTTCACTTCATAAGGAATTCCTTGAGTGTAACATGGATATTAAATGATGATGGGGGCATTTATAACTAATGAGAACATATTTATGGAGGAAATTTTTATTTTTATTGTTTTAACTTTTTTGATAAAATTAAAAAAGATAGTAAAAAGTTAACTATAAGTAATAATAATAATAATTATTATTATTTTGTTTATTTTTTTCAATAAGATATGAAAGGATATATATATATATGGAAATTTTCCTGCAAAATTGATTTGATGATTTTATTGTGCCAGCTTGGATTCCGATTACTCTCTTCGTTCTGTGTTGCGCCTCTATCTTGGCTTGGTTGGTCTCGGCTGCATTTGGACCCTCTCGGCTCTAGCTCTGTTTTCTTGGCCGATCTTTTGTATTGGGTTTTATGGACTTTTGGGTTCTTGGCTTTCGATTCTTTCTCTATGAAGCTGCTACTGTTTTGCCTTCTTCTTGGCATCGGCGTTTTGTGTGCGTTTTGGGTGTCGTTTGCTTGTTTCGTTGCATTGGGATGTAACTAGCTGGTTCTTATTTTTTCCATTCCTATGTCCTGTTTGTTTCTCTTCTATGGCAATTGTGCCACTTTTGTTTTCGACGGCTGTTTTATTTTGACCACCATCCCCTTTCATTGTGATATTTCCCACCTGCTATCTCTCCATCGTGTAATGCTTTATTTTACGTTAAATGCTTTTGCAAAATTGCATCGGCCGCAGCGAAACGCAGGTTATAATCTAGTTAAAATTAAGAGATAAAGCAATATTAATATTTATTTAGTTATACGATATTACTGATTTTCTTTTACTGTGATTATTGTATTTTTTAAAAAATCACATATAAGTTTTTTTGGTTATTTTCTTAATTTAGCTTCGTAATATATATATATTGACTTATATACCTTTTCAAGAGTTGGTATTATTATATTTGTCATCATCCTATTTTTTTAAATAAAAAATAAAAAAAATCATGAATAAAGAAAAAAAGAGTAAAAAAAAAAGGCTAGAAGAAAAAACTAATTGATTGAAATCAGGGCAAAATTGAAGAGAGAGAAAAAAGAGGATGATAAAAAAAAATCAAGGTAATTTGGAGAAGATTTGTGCAATTGAAGTTCTTTTTCTAAATAAATTTATACAAAAAAAAAAAAAAAAAGAAAGAAAGAATTTTTCTTATTCGAAAATACTTTAGTATTTTGGACATAGCTTCATGTATATAAGTTCAATTCATGAGATTCTCGCAGGAAATTAAATCTAAGAGATAAAGCAATATTAGTACTTATTTAGCTATCCGATATTGGTAATACCATTTCACATTTACTACTGTATTTTTTAAAAAATCACATAAAAGTTTTTTTTTATTTTCTTAATTTAATTTCATAAAATAATTATAAATTGACTTATATGTCTTTTCAAGAGTTGATGTTATTATATTTGTCATCACCCTATTTTTGCTTAAAAAATAAAAAAAAATCACAAATAAAGAGAAAAAAAAAGGAAGAGGGAAAAAAAAGACAAAAAGAAAAAACCATTTGATTGAAATCGGGGTGAAACTGAAGAGAATAAAAAAAGAGGATTGATAAAAAAAAAAAAAAAGAAATAGAAAATCAAGGCAATTTGGAGAAGATTTGTGCAATTAGAGTTTTCTCTAAATAAATTAGGGAAAAGAGAAAATTTTCTTATTCGAACATACTTGGATATTTTGAACATAACTTTTTGTACAAAAGTGCAATTCATGCAATTCTTATGGCAAATTAAAGCTAAGAGATGTAGTAATGTTAATACTTATTTAATTATGTGATATCATTAATATTAATAAATTGACATGCACTAATAAAGTTTTACAAAGTAACTTGTTAAAAATATATAATAATATTAATATATTTTCTTTTCTTTTCTTCTTTGCAAGCCTTGATTTTTAGCACTATCATCTTGAAATTTGGACTAACAAATATTCATTTTGTTATCTAGACAAGAAATAAAGATGATTTTTTTCTCTCTCTCTTAGTTTTCTTGTACTTTGTAAAAGAAACATATAGTTTAAACTTGTTAAAAATGTATGATAATATTAATTGATTTTATTTTCTTTCTTTCTTTGTAGGTCTTATTTTTAACACTATCATTTTGAAATCCGATCTAACAAATATTCATTTTTTTTTATTACTTAGACAAGAAATAAAGATTATTTATTATTACTTTTTTTAGTTCTATCGTACTTCCTATCTAGCTCAAGATAAATTTTTATTAGGATTATTTAATCTTGTGCTTTTCAAATATAAAGTCCATAAGTCATTATTTAGCTCAAGTTCTTTTTTTATCACCATGATTGATTCATTGAGAAATTCAAATTTCAAAGGCTTGTAGTTATCTATTGCATTGTACGCCAAATGATAAGCTATTACAACTCCTTTTATTGCTTTTATCTTCATGTAAACAATATCATATTCGAACAACATGACTCGCCATCTTGTAATTCGACTAAACAAGTATGGCTTCTCAAAAATATACTTAAGCAAATCCATCTTCGAAAGTAGCCAAGTGGTATAATAGAGCATGTATTGTCTCAATCGTCGGACACACCATACCAAGTCACAACGCATTTTCTCAACCACATTGTATCTAAATTTACAATCGGTGAACTTTTTGCTCAAGTAGTATATGACTTGCTCTTTCCTTTTGAATTCATCATGCTAACCCGGGACACTTTCCATGGCTACTTCGTAATTGATAATTATAAAATCGGGTTTTTCGAGTATTGATGGCACTAACAATGGTGGATTTTACAAGTATTGTTTGATCGGGGGTCAAAGGTTTCTTACATTCGTAGTCCCATACACCATCAATATTTTTTTATAGCAACCAAAAGATCAACTCGCATGTGTTCATTAGTTGAGAAATGAAGCAAATAATGTAATTCAATAAGCCCAAAAGCTTGTAACTTCTTTCTTGGTTGATGGTGATGGCATGCCTTGAATTGTTTTAACTTTGTTAGGATCAACTTTGATTTCTCTGTGGCTTATAATAAATTCAAGAAAATTTCTTGACTTCACACCAAAATGTACTTTGATGGATTGGAGCTTAGTCGATATTTTCTTAACCTTTCAAATAGCCTTCTCATAATCAAAGCATGATCTTCACCAACTTTGGATTTTGCAATCATATCATCCACATATAGTTTAACTTTTGTGTGCATCATGTCATGGAATAATGTAACAATGGTTCGTTGATAGGTAGCCCAAGTATTTTTCAAATCGATGGGCATGACTTTGTAACGAGAAAATTCCCTAAGGCATGAAAAACATTGTTTTCTCTTTGTCTTCCATAGCCATCTTGATTTGATTATATCTTAAAAATCCATTCATGAATGAGTAGGCTGCATTCTTTGTCGTAATGTTGACCACGGCTTCAATGTGTGGCAATGGAAAGTCATCTTTCAAGCTAGCTTTTTTTAGGTTATAAAAGTCTACACATATTTGGATCCTACCATCTTTTTATCCACTACGACTATATTTGACATCGTTGAGGATATTTGACAACTTCTAAGAATCCGAGCATCCTATTATTTTTTGACTTTCGTTTTCATTTTAAGCAAGATATCCGACATCATTCTTCCGAGCTTTTGTTTCATTGGCTTATATCATAGGTTCAAAGGCAATCTATGTTTTACTATTTTGATATCTAATCTTGGCATATCCGTATACAACCAAACAAACACATTAGAATATTCTCTTAAAAGGGAAATCATGCTTCCTTTTTTAGCATATTTTATCAAAGTTCCAACCTTCAACTCTCACCTATTCTCATTATTATCCACATTTATCATTCTCAATCCTTCTTTGTGTGACTTAATGGATTATTCTAACAATTCTACCAATTTTCTTAATTCTTTTATATCATTCTCATTTCACTTTCCTTTATCCATTATAATTAAAGTTTCATCAAATTTAAGCCAATCATTTTTAGTGCAATCATTTTTATTTTTAAAGAAGTGATCATAATGTATGCCACTAGAATTAACAAAAAAGTTCAAATAAAACGAAGAGAAAAAGAATGCAAAGAAGATAATTTCAAGAGAAATTCTTATAGTTTGATGTATTAGTGCTATTTATAAATAAGATAAGACTTCGTATCCAATGTTTCTTTATAGGATTTGAGTCAAAATTTAACTAGAAGTTAAAGAAAAGAATAATAAAGATATTTAGTCAACTTTGTAGACAACAACTGCCTCCTCATAAGACCGGTTTGTCGAGCTTCTCACCCTTAATGCATTTCCAAAAAAACTAATCAATATCAAAAGCTTCCTTCATCATATTGATCGTGAGTTGTAGGAAGGCTATCATGCATAAATTAATTG